GTCCCTGATGTTTTGATCCCTTGGATCCGCGCCGCTCGTCTCCAGCTCCGCCAGCGGTTCCAGTCGGACTTTCCCGTCCTGCGTCTGCACTCTGACAGGGGTGGTGAGTTTTCCTCCGCCCTCCTGGCCGCCTACTGTGCGGAGCACGGCATCCGCCAGACGTTCACTCTCCCGGCCTCTCCACAGCAGAATGGGGTTGCTGAGCGCCGCATTGGTTTAGTCATGGAGGTCGCTCGTACCTCCATGATCCATGCGGCTGCCCCCCATTTTCTGTGGCCGTTTGCAGTCCGGTACGCTGCGCATCAGCTCAACCTTTGGCCCCGTGTCTCCGCTCCGGAGACCTCGCCCACACAACGTTGGACGGGGGAGGTTGGCGATGCGTCGGTGTTCCGTGTCTGGGGATGTCGAGCCCTTGTTCGCGATACGTCCGCGGACAAGCTCTCCTCCCGTGCCGTTCCCTGTGTCTTCCTTGGTTTTGTCCCTGACGCGCCTGGCTGGCAGTTTTACCACCCCACCTCGCGCCGTGTCTTTGCCTCTCAGGACGTCACCTTTGACGAGTCGGTCCCCTTTTACCGTCTCTTCCCCTACCGCACTACCCCCCTCCCGCCTCCACCGCTTTTCCTCACTCCAGGTCCCCCTGCACTAGACCCCCTTCCCCCTCAGGGTCCTGCTCCCTCAGGTGTCTCTCAGGTAGACCCTCCTCCTGTCGATGAGCTTGTCGAGGTCACAGGTGACTCAGGTGCTGCTGCGGGTGGTACTGCTGGGGGTGCTGAGCCTGGGGGTGCTGAGACTGGGGGTGCTGAGCCTGGGGGTGCGGAGACTGGGGGTGCTGAGCCTGGGGGTGCTGGGTCTGGGGGTGCTGAGCCTGGGGGTGCTGGGTCTGGGGGTGCTGAGCCTGGGGGTGCTGAGCCTGGAGGTCCTGACTCTGGCGGCACTGGAGCTGGAGGTTCTGGAGCTGCTGGAGCTACCACTGGAGCTGGAGGTTCTGGAGCTGCTACGGGTGCTGGCGCTGCGGGTTCTGAGTCTGCTGTTGCGCGGTCTCCTTGGAGTAGCCGCCTTCGTACGCGTGTGCCTCTCACCTCCCAGCAGCTGCGCGACTGGTACGGTCGCCGTCAGCGTCGCGCTCCTGTGGCTCGGGACTCTACTCTTGTCGGTACTTCCACTGACGTCACTGGAGCTGAGAGTGGTGCTGGTTCGTTGTCTCCTGGAGGCGCCCACGTCGCTGGTCCCGGAGGTGCTCGTACCGCTGGTACTCGAGCTGCTGGGGCTGGTGGTGCTGTGTCTGAGGGTACTCCTACTGGGGACGCTGCGACTAAAGGTGCTGGTTCTGGAGGCGCTGCTGCTGGTGGAGACTGTCCTGGAGGAGTTGCCGCTGGGGGTGGTGGAGCTACTGGAGGTACAGGAGCTGCTGTAGGTGCTGGAGCTGCTGGTGCTGGCGGCACTACACAGTCGCGCATCTTCTTCGCTCCGCCGTCTCCGTCGTCTCTGCCACCGCCTGACTCTGTCCTCCACCAGGTTCTTAGTCTTCCGTCTTCTACCGGTCTTCCCCTCCTGCCTGACTCACCGCTTCCTGCTCCTTCTCCTTACACTGAGCAGTCAGGAGGTCTTACTGAGCGTCGTGAGCCTGCATCGCGTCCTGTCTCGCCTGTTCGCACTGGTCGCACCGTTCGTCGTGTTCCGAGTTCGAGGTCGTCGCCTGTCCCCGGAACGCGCCTTGTCGTTCGTCGTCCTTCCTCTGTTCCACAGTCTGTTCCTCTGCCGTCCCCTCCTGCGTCGTCTTTGCCTCACGTTCCGGACCCTGAGTCTGACCGGTTTCGTGCTGAGCACCCTACTGTCACGCGTCTGCTAGCCACTGTTGTCACTGACCCCTCGTTTGAGTCTTCTGCTGCGTCTGCCTTGGTCGCTGAGCTTGTTGACTTTGCTACTGCCTGTCGTCTAGACTACGCTGCTAGCCTTGTTGCTGAGTCTGAGTCTGTCTGTCCTCCGTCCGTCAGGGGTGAGTGTGCTCTTGGCACGGACGTCCTTGAGGACAGGCACGAGGACCTTGAGTGTCTTGCAGCCGCTGCGCCTCATCTCGTGGCCATGCTGCTTGCCCCTGAGGGAGACCCGGATGCTTTAGACATCCCGACCCCGCGATCTTACGCTGAGGCGATCGCGGGTCCCTACTCCTCTCACTAGCAGGCTACCATGGACGCAGAGATGGCATCCTGGAAGTCCACTGGCACTTACGTCGACGACGTTCCCCCTCCTGGGGCGAACATCGTCAGTGGCATGTGGATTTTCAGGGTGAAGCGGCCGCCGGGTTCTCCGCCTGTCTTCAAGGCTCGTTACGTTGCCCGAGGCTTCAGTCAGCGAGAGGGAGTCGACTTCTTCCAGACCTTCTCCCCCACCCCGAAGATGACCACTCTTCGGGTACTGCTGCACGTTGCCGCTCACCGTGACTACGAGCTTCACTCTCTTGACTTCAGCACAGCTTTCTTGCAGGGCAGTCTGCACGAGGAGATCTGGCTGCGCCGCCCTCCTGGCTTCACTGGGTCGTTTCCTCCTGGTACCCAGTGGAGCCTCCGGCGGCCGGTCTACGGTCTCCGCCAGGCGCCACGCGAGTGGCACGACACACTGAGGACTACACTTGCGGCTCTTGGGTTCGCGCCTTCTACTGCTGACCCGTCGCTATTTCTGCGCACCGACACTTCGCTGCCGCCGTTCTACATCCTTGTGTACGTCGACGACTTGGTCTTTGCCACTGCTGACACTGAGGCTCTCGCCCACGTGAAGTCCGAACTGCAGAAGAGACACACGTGCACAGACCTGGGTGAACTGCGCAGCTACCTTGGCTTGCAGATCACCCGGGACAGAGCACGCCGCACCATCACACTGACTCAGTCACACATGGTGCAGCAGGTCCTTCAACGCTTCGGCTTCACCTGGTCCTCAGCACAGGCCACTCCTCTGGCCATAGGTCACTCGCTCTCAGCTCTGCATTCGGATGAGTCCGTAGAGCCGAGTGGTCCTTACCCAGAGCTAGTTGGTTGCCTCATGTACCTGATGACCTGCAGTCGTCCTGACTTAGCGTACCCTCTTGGCCTTCTGGCCCGCTACGTGGCTCCTGGTAGGCACCGAAAGGTGCACTGGGATTCTTCGAAGAGGGTATTGCGCTACTTGGCATGGGGCTCGTGCTTGGAGGAGGGAGCCCAGTTGTTCTCACTGGGCACTCAGACGCTTCTTGGGTGGACGACCAGGCTACACAGCGGTCGTCACAGGGTTACACCTTCAGTCTTGGCTCTGGCTCAGTTTCTTGGCGTTCTACACGTTCGTCTTCAGTTCTCAGCTCCAGTTGTGAGGCTGAGATCTACGCCACAGCCATGGCTGCTCAGGAGTTACGCTGGCTCACCTACCTGCTGACCGACCTGGGAGAGCGGCCTCGTTCTCCTCCAGTGCTGTACGTTGACAACAAGGCTGCCATTGCCTTGTGTGAGGAGCACAGACTGGAGCACAGAACGAAGCACATCGCTCTGCGGTACTTTCTGGCTCGAGAGTTGCAGCAGCGTGGTCAGCTTCGTCTGCGTTACGTGGCCACTCAGGCCAACACTGCTGATATATTCACCAAGGCACTCCCGCCTAGTGATCATCAGCGCTTCTGCACTTTGTTGGGGCTTGTGCCCACTTTTCCTCACTTGCTGTAGACTTTGCGTGTACTGTGATCTGTATAAATATATCTATTGACCTGCATGCTTGCTAGATATAGATCACTGTGATGCTTGTGTTACATATATGCCTCTGCATGTGAACTGGCCTTGTGGCTCTTTGCTTGTGCTCAGAGTGTGTGGTGACGTTGTGATCCACCCTGGGCTTGCTTGCCTTTCTTGACTGGTCTTGTGACCCCTTGCTCTCCCCACTTTGCCTATGGGGGTGTGTCAAACAAAATATTTGTGTTGTTGCTGTGTAGGCTGCAGTGGGTTAGCCTTTAGGGGGTACACAATTCTAGGGTTTTGTATTTGTACTCCCAACTTCTCATACTGCACACACTTCTTGATTCTGACAGGAAGCTGCGAAGAGGGTACTGCGCTACCTGTGCAGTACATCGGGCATGGGGCTCGTGCTTGGAGGACGGGGTGACGTTGTCCTCACTGGACACTCTGACGCGTCTTGGGTTGACGACCAGGCTACGCAGCGGTCGTTACAGGGTTACACCTTCAGTCTTGGCTCTGGCTCTGTTTCTTGGCGGTCTACACGCTCGTCTTCTGTTCTCAGCTCCAGTTGTGAGGCTGAGATCTACGCCACAGCCATGGCTGCACAGGAGTTACGCTGGCTCACGTACCTGCTGACTGACTTGGGAGAGCGGCCTCGTTCTCCTCCAGTTCTGTACGTTGACAACAAGGCTGATATTGCCTTGTGCCAGGAGCACAGACTGGAGCACAGAACGAAGCACATCGCTCTGCGTTACTTCCTGGCTCGAGAGTTGCAGCAGCGAGGTCAGCTTCGTCTTGCTTACGTGGCCACGCGGGCACCAAGGCACTTCCGTCTGGTGATCATCAGCGCTTCTGTACCTTGTTAGGCCTTGTACCTACGTTTCCACACTTGCTGTAGGCTTTGCTTGTACTGTGATCTATATACATATACCTGCATGCTTGCTCTTGCTAGGTGGTGATCACTGTGCTGTTCCTGTTGCATATATACCTCTGCATGTGGACTGGCCTTGTGGCCCTTTGCTTGTGCTCAGTGTGTGTGGTGACGTTGTGATCCACCCTGAGCTTGCTTTGCTTTGCTTGACTGGTCTTGTGACCCCTTGCTCTCCCCCACTTTGCCTATGGGGGTGTGTCAAATTATATATGTAACATATATGTGTAGGCTGTAGTGGGGTAGCCAATATGGGGTATAGCCCCTTTTAGGGTTTCATATTTGTACCCAACTTCATTCTAGTCCATCCATTCCTGCTAGTTCTTTCTGACACAGAGCTGTTGTTTGACTGCTGTAGAAGCTTGTCTGTCCGTGAAACCCATCTATGAGGGAGGGTCTTGTTGAATTGACTCCTGTGTTGCGTAATGTCCTGCTCAAAGCCACGGCTTCCCCCACATGTGATGGATCCAGCTAGGAACATGTGGGCATGTGCACACAGCAGCTTGTCCAATATGGCAACAATGCCTGCATGTACAGAAGGGAGAGCGTGGGAGAGATTAGAAAAGGTGGCAGTTGGGATGGCACACAGGACCAGGGCGAACTCTTGGTAGAAAGATAAAAGGGGCATTGCATAGCAAGGGAAAATCTCAGGCAGCCAGATCTTGCAGCCCAGGCAGCCACTCAAGCAGCCAGCCACCCAAGCTTGCTACCCAAAATGGCCGAGTGCACTGACCAGGGTCGTAGTGGTTGATGGTGGGCATGAGCTCGTCCACCATCACTGTGCCCGCCACCTGCTCCCTCAGCCACCGCAGCTTCTCCCGCGGGGCCTCCAGCACCTTCTCTTGCCCTTGGAACATCCACGTGGTCTCGTTCCACGAGTCCGACCGCACCACGCTGCCCGCCTTGTCATCAAACGGCACGTCGGCGGCGACGAAGACGGTGGAGATGTTGTGGCGGCGCTTTATGCGGTTGATGAGGTTGCGAGCCGCCTCCATGCACCCCGCCATCAGCTCCTCCAGCACGCCCGTCTCCACCTTGAAGCCTCTTTGCACTAGCTTGTGTGCCTGCAGGGTGGGTGAGGCGGGATCAGGACAGCAGCGAGGTGCAAATTAAAATTACTCGTGAGTCAAGTTGGTTGTGTTAAAAAGCCAAATGTCATCAATGGCCATCAGCCACATGAGTTGCGTACAAGGTGGTTGAGGCGGGATTAGGGCAGCAGCGAGACGCGGATTCAAATGATTCATGAATCAATTTGGGTATGCTCAAAAGCCAACTCTCGTCAAATGGCACGTCAGCTTCAAGGATTGAGTGCTGTTACCATCCAGCTGGACTCGAACTCACAAGGTGGAAGGCGATGAACTCACGAGGCAGAAGGCGATGAACTCACGAGGCGGAAGGCGATGAACTCACGAGGCGGAAGGCGATGAACTCACGAGGCAGAAGGCGATGAACTCACGAGGTGGAAGGCGATGAACTCACGAGGTGGAAGGCGATGAACTCACGAGGCAGAAGGCGATGAACTCACGAGGTGGAAGGCGATGAACTCACGAGGCAGAAGGCGATGAACTCACGAGGTGGAAGGCGATGAACTCACGAGGTGGAAGGCGATGAACTCACGAGGCAGAAGGCGATGAACTCACGAGGTGGAAGGCGATGAACTCACGAGGCAGAAGGCGATGAACTCACGAGGTGGAAGGCGATGAACTCACGAGGTGGAAGGCGATGAACTCACGAGGCAGAAGGCGATGAACTCACGAGGTGGAAGGCGATGAACTCACGAGGCAGAAGGCGATGAACTCACGAGGTGGAAGGCGATGAACTCACGAGGTGGAAGGCGATGAACTCACGAGGCAGAAGGCGATGAACTCACGAGGTGGAAGGCGATGAACTCACGAGGCAGAAGGCGATGAACTCACGAGGTGGAAGGCGATGAACTCACGAGGTGGAAGGCGATGAACTCACGAGGTGGAAGGCGATGAACTCGGAGCGGTAGTGCACTGCAATGTACCGGGGGGGCAGGCGGGCCATGGCTTGATGCACCATGGCGTGCCACTCCCGGCTGTATGGAAGCATGTTGAAGGAGATGGCGTCTGTGGGACGGTGGAAGTCCACTCGATCGTATGTGCTCTTCACCCACACCAGCACGTCCCTGTGCCGCCTGCAATCATGCAGCCGTGAAACGCACAGCCGATGCACAAGTGGGCAGAAGGGGAGGAAAATCGTTTGCCGACAGGGGGGTGCTGGAACAGTAAGACGATGTGTAATGGTATGTGTGCGCGGTGGCGTGCAGTATGGACGAACACACCAAACCACTCTGCTTGGCTTGCTTCATAGGAGACTCTCAAGGAAGAAGTTGTAGGTCATAGGCATTTAACAGACAATGAGTTTCCAGCCATGATAGAAGCCAATACGCCATGAGACACAGAAAAAAGAAAAAGGAAAAAGTAGAAGGAGAAGAAGAAAAAAAAAATTATCAATACGACATGCTTATAGTATGGTTGGACGGGCCATGCACTCATCGTGCTTCATATCGGAAAGAGGACACAAAGAATGCAGTGAGCATAGAATGACGCACCACTTATGCAACTGGTGGAGAACTGCCCTGCTGTTGGCCGGCAAGATGACATCAACAGTGTTGCGTCTCGAGGGTGCATGGCCCATGCCATACACCATCAGCTCACTCAGCATGTTTGCCAGGGGCCCTGCACACCGCGGTAAAATAAAGTAATCTTTTTTCTTTGGCAGAATGAATTGTAGCTATGGAATAGGTGAATGAGAGTGAGAAGAGCATGACTACGGACTGCAAAGACAATGGAAACATTCAGAGATGGCAATTAATACTTGCCACATCTGCAGAACGAACTTGGAACATGCTTCGGCTTCTGCGACTTGCCTTGAGAGAAGGTCGCCCGCCATATTTGGGAGGTCTGCAGATGCACGAAGGCCACGGAAGGGCTGGCTTTAGCTGCAGCTGCAGCAGCAAAGGGCGGGGGGAGAGCAGCTCGAGCGAGGAGCAGGAAGAGGTCGGGCGAGATCCAGTGGGCGTGGAGGCGAGAGAGATCGAAGTAGGCGCACAGAGGCAGCGCACGGGCCAGTGAGAGGCGGCTGCGACTGCCCTGGCGTGGTTGCAGTGTGGGGAGAGGGGGGAGAGAGGGCGGGAGAGAGGGCGGGAAACATAAGCAGAAGAAGTGGAAAACAGCAGAGAGGGTGAAGAGGAGTGTGCAGAATTGCATTTGGGAAGCAAGGGAGTCACCTTGGGCAGCACGAGGGTCGTACCTTGGGCAGCACGGGGGTGGTACCTTGGGCAGCACGAGGGTGGTACCTTGGGCAGCACGGGGGTGGTACCTTGTGCAGCACGAGGGTGGTACCTTGGGCAGCACGGGGGTGGTACCTTGGGCAGCACGGGGGTGGTACCTTGGGCAGCGAGGGTGGTACCTTGGGCAGCACGGGGGTGGTACCTTGTGCAGCACGAGGGTGGTACCTTGGGCAGCACGGGGGTGGTACCTTGGGCAGCACGGGGGTGGTACCTTGGGCAGCACGGGGGTGGTACCTTGGGCAGCACGAGGGTGGTACCTTGTGCAGCACGGGGGTGGTACCTTGTGCAGCACGGGGGTGGTACCTTGTGCAGCACGGGGGTCGTACCTTGGGCAGCACGAGCGTGCGGTTGGTGGCTTGGGCGAAGCGGGCGGCCTCTACGAGGTGAGAGCGCGTGTTGGAGAGCTGCTCCTCCGAGTAGGCGAACACAAGGAACCTGCGCGCCCTGGTGGCCTGGGGGGGTGTGGAATGCAGGCAGTGGGAAATGGGGCAGGTGAGGGAGGGAGGGATTAGACTTGTCAGTAGTGCTCGTGCGCCCTGGTGGACCTGGGGTGGTGGTATGGAGAAAGTGGGAGGGGAGAAGAGGGAGGGGGTGGAAGTGGGGCGAAAGGGAGTTTTGAGAGCCGTTGATGTGAGTGGACACTGGGGCAGGTGAGCGGGGGATATTATAGAATTCTCAACAGTATGGATGGGATGGAGGGCGTGTGGAACGGGGCAGGTGAAGGGGGAGGGGGAGGGAGGAACTGAGGGCTGCTTGTTAGAGTGGGCAACGTGGGGAAGCTTGCGTGTTCTCGTGAAATAAGGGCAGAAAAAGAAGTGGCGGTTAAGACGAAAAAGGGGGGACGAGGGCAGTAGGGGAGGAGGAAAGAGGGAGGGAGGAGGATGGGGAAGGAGAAGGGGGCACCATGACATCGGAGAAGGGCATGTGCGGCACCGGCCAGCACGCCTCAGGCCACGTGCTGCACTTTGCTGCTGCTGCTCCCTCCCCTCCTGCTCCTGCTCGCCCTGCTCTTGCTCCTGCCTCCGCTCCTGTTCCTGCCCCTGCCTCTGCTCCTGCTTCTCCCTCTGCTCCTTCTGTTGCCACTGCTCCCGTATCACCCTCGCCGCCCGCATTCGCCTTGTCGCTGCACTCGCCGCTCAGCCGGGCTTCTATCTCGCGCACCCCGCGGCACACGGCATCAACGCCAGCTTCTATCCGCGCCAGCGACGTCACTTTTAGCTTCAACGCCCTCCCCACGTACGCGCTCGCCGCTGCTCGCTCCATCGCCGCCCGCCGCCAGCCCGCGGAGCACAGCACCGCGGCGGAGTCGGCAGGGGAGGAGGCAGCAGCGGCACCGCCACCAACAGCAGCAGCACCGCCACTACCAGCAGCAGCAGCAGAAGGAGCAGGAGCGGCAGCAGCGGCACTGCCAGGGCTGACAGAGCCAGCAGGCGCGCTCTGAGTTTTGTCAACGGTGGTGCTGGTGCCACCGTCCGCACCGGTAGTACCACTGGGGCTATCGGCGGTAGGGCGGCTATCAGCAGGGCTGTCAGCCGGGCTGTCAGTAGGGCTATCAGCGCTATCAGCGGGGCTATCAGCAGGGCTATCAGCAGCGGTATCAGCATCAGCAGCGCTATCAGCGGGGCTATCAGCGGGGCTATCAGCGGGGCTATCAGCAGGGCTGTCAGCGGGGCTATCAGCAGGGCTGTCAGCGGGGCTATCAGCGGGGCTATCAGCGGGGCTATCAGCGGGGCTATGAGCGGGGCTATCAGCGGGCCTGTGAGCTTCCCGTGTGAGCTGAGCGTGGGGGCTCGGCAGCTCCAGCGACACCGCGGCCTGGGAGTCCGCCTCGGCCTCTCTCCGCCTCGCTTCCGCCGCCCATTGCTGCAGCACGTTCCGCAGCTCCGCTCTGCACGCCGCTGCGGCGCGCTCCTGCGGCGGAGTCAGCGCGGAGCCGTCACGGGCGGTGGGGTCGTTGGGCGAGGAGGAGTGGGCGTGGGAGCTTCTCATGGCCGTCACGCACGAGTCGGTCAGGTTCTTGAGAGGGAGAGTCGAGGGGCGATAGAGGACTGCGGCGGTATTGTGGATGGTGTATGGAGCGTCGGGCGACGCAATGAGTTGTGGCGCAATGAGTTGTGGCGCGATGAGTTGATGGTAGCAGGCTCGGAGGAGGCACGAGAGCACGACCAATAGCGCGAATGAGCGCAATACTCGTTCTACGGAGCAACAGGTAGCGAGTTTCGCTGGGAACAATATAGAAGCCATGTTTGAAACCTGCTTGATTCCCGCGACACTCGCGCATCACTCATAGCAAGACTAGGTCATTCGCCAATGCTACTGCTAGCCTTGTGCCGCACACGGACTCTCGGAGTTCGCGCCGCCTGGCGGTGGCTGGCCGGAAAACACTCACTTATCGAGGCTGGTGGTTAGCTGTTGCTAGCCGGTTCTCTCGAGATATTCGCAGCATATAACGCGCGTCGCTACCCACTGGGACAAAATGAGGGTGTTAGGCTCAGCGGATGCTCCCACTTGAAAGCCCGCAGACGTTACACAGCAGGTCAGTGACACCAAAATAGCGAACTCGTTGGTAAGTGATCTCCGCATAGCGAACTCGATTGTGGGTGATCTCGGTCGCCAGATCTGCGATCTGCTGATACGAAGCGGGAAGGAGCAAGAGGCAGTCGGTGAGTGGAGAGTACCAATCGCGGGTGAATGAACTAGACGTAGCACTGTACTCAAATGCCGCGTGGACTACACATGACGAGGACTTGAAGCTGAAAGGAGTATGAAATGGTGAGCCGGCTACCAAGTCGCGAAACTCTTCTGCCGCTCTCGCGGTAACGATCTTCCCGCCTTTTGGACAGGGCCCTCCAACTACGGAATGCCTTCTGACAGGGCCTACCTGCCTACCGACCAGGCAGGCGTGTGCAATTAGGGAGTTTAAGAAGATGACACTAACGGGGGCAAGGAAAAACTAATGGTGGTGTTTGTTATGAGTGCAATTGAGAGAGGGAGCTAGAATTGCACTATCTAAACAAAACAGTACATTGAGCAAAGGAATGAGCGAAGAATATATAGCGAAGCTAGCGTGGTAACGGTAACACGAGAATGTGGAGTGCACTATGGGCCTAGCACCGAAGTTGGAATTTGCAGAGGCGGAGGACCGGAGCGGGGGTTACCAACAGAATTGTGAAGTTGGGTCTCGATGTAAATAGTGGCGGGAACAGTAGTCGAGGCGAATGTCGCGAATGATAATGGCGCACTGTTTGGGTATTGTTGGCGGGAACAGACGGGTATGCGATAAGCAGGGGCGCGAAGTAAGGAAAATAAAATTTCCTTACACTGTTGGAAACAAGTAATTCCTAAAGCGCCTCTGTCGTGTCGAAACATCACACCAGAAGCGAAGCGAGTCATATCGAGGCACGAGCGAGTCAACCCTCGGAGGTTGAAAGAGGTTGCCGGAGGTTACGCGAAAGTCAAAGGTCAGCGATCTTAGACGTGACAAGTACAGTACGACAGCAAGGACACACAACCGACTCGTTACAGAGCGGTTGCCCGAGTCGTCACTGTATCGAACCGCAACAGCAACAGTAAAACAGTTATAATCGTATCCTTTCGTATTCCTTGTACTCTTATATAAATCTTTGTACTTGCTTGCTTTAATATTAACTTACTTTGCTCTCACACACTAGTGCAAGGTGGTTCACAAGTCTTCATTAAACGCTTCCGCTATTACAATTGTCCTACCCCGAATTTACCCCTGCAAAAGATCCTAAGGGCTTTTTCTCAGCCCAACATGGTATGAGAGCTATCAGGGAAAATTCAACTATTACCAAGACACCAACAGACGACATGGCAACATACAAGGAAAGGAGTTCCTCCAATGGTTCTCCCGGGACTACTCCTACCCCACCTCCTGCCTCTGGCCTGCAGACAGAGGAAGGAACTGCAACGGGACCAGCAGCGCCTTCAGCCAGCCAACCTGCCAGCTTCGACCAGAGTATGATGGAGAAATTTTTCTCCTTCATGTCGTTTTACGAGCAACACCAGCAGTCGGCACCTGCGCAGTCAAACAACAGCAACAACAACAACGTGACTCCAATGAGTCTTGACGGCTCATCATATGCGCGCGGAAATCAGCAACAACCTACCTTTGCTCCGTATGAACGCGGGTCCATCAGCTTCATGCCGCAAGCTCCATCTGGACAAGAAAAACAACTGGACACACTACAAGTACAGTCGCAATTCGCGCACGTCTTAAAGCTGCAGACGTCAAGGCCCTTCGACGGAAAGGACTTCTTCACCTGGTCGTTCGAATACGAGCTGATGATAGAAGGCGCTTCTTCGACGGGTCTGTACCATACCC